TCATACAATTAACCCTGTAAACCAGTAACTTGATAACCAAAATTAGTTCATTGCCTAAGATAAGATACATGAAATCCATTGCATGCTGCAGCCCTGGAATTGTCTTTTACTTGCTTGAAACATCATCCTAAAGTCGTTCACAATTAGTTACTTTTATTTATTGCTTAATTCGTAGTAGTAGTTAATAATCATCCAACTCTTTTAAACGGTTACTTTTGTTTGATTGTGGAATTAAGTTGTTAAATATAAGTTGATCACAAGTCCCTTGGGAACGAAAACTCGTTTCTAAAAGAAACTATATTACTTGAGCGACCACGTACACTTGCGTGTATATTGGGGAGCAACAAGAACCATAGCTGAACTAGAGTAAAGATGAACCATCAACTTGTTTAAAACTGTTCTACAGAAAAAATCTTGTTCGATGACTAACGAAACTTTTGAAAACATTTTTATTCTTGTACGGAATATCTGAATGCAGACATTTTGAGAAAAACTTGGAGGTAGTTTCCTTTATTCCTCAGCAGCAAATATAGCATATTGCATCTTTTATCATCTTCACTGTTAGTTACATTGCAAGAAACATTGTTTCTGTTTTTATATTCTGTCAATTAATCCAACCTCAGAATATCCAGTCATCAGTGTTTTCATTTTTATGTTTATTTAACATTCCACAAAGATTCTCTTCATAATTTTTTTGCTGTACAAATTTGGCAGAAAATGAGGAAGAATTCTTAGAAAGATGTCGGGGCAGGTGATGATGGAAACCCTTATCAAGATTCATTTCCTTTTGTCATCTCAGACAGGAGGTTTTGTAGTCATAATCAGCACAACCAATTCTTTAGCATAAAGTATCCAACTGAACAAGAAGCTTGAGTACACAACTAGCTGCTATCAGATCATGTAATATACTGGTTCCAAAATGCGTAGATGACAAACACAGAACTTCTATCCCTTGGATGATTTAAGTTCAAAGCGCAGATAATAACATCCTAAACAGTGGGAGAGTTGGTGCCAAGTTATGCTCTCTCCCTTGCAATTTAAGTGTCTTACTTTCCTTCTTGGTTTGTCTGAAAAAGAATGCCTCTTCTTAATTATTTTTTTTTGGTAAGTAAATATTTTATTTACCAAAGTGATCGTTACAAAGCATTAAGAAAAAACAACAGACTTGGACCATTTAGACCCAAGACTTGCTAAAACATCACATTCAACCTATCTATTCTCTACAACTTTACTAGGGATAGACAATTAGTTCTCGAAGTCTACTATCTACTCTACCTTGGTGGGATCCTCTACCATGTATATCTCGTATACTATGCCTAATCATGAACTCCTCATTCCTCTGTTTGTTCTGAAACACTCTGCAATTACGTTCCATCCACAAGTGATAAATGGTTCCAGCCAAAGTCATCTTGTATATTTGTGCTTTAATGTTCCTACCTTTCATGTATTTTATTGCCCATTGTATTTCTTCATGCCACTTCATCCCTCTTCTTTGTACTCCTAGCCATGCTAGCAGTTTGTTCCATACTCTCGCAGTGAATGAGCAGGTAAAGAAAAGGTGGTCTATATCTTCATCCTACAGTTGACACAAGGGACATGTCAAGACATTTGTTATCCCCCATTTTGCCATCCTGTCCTTTGTTGAGAGCCTCCTGTTAAGTGCAATGTATAGTATAAAGAGCCATTTAGGTGCACCACAGTTTGCCCATATCAGTTTCCTCCACTCCACTTTCACCATGTCTCCTCTCATCTTTTCATAAACCTTCTTGATAGAGTATTGTTCCATTTGCATCAGGCTATGTTCACTGTATCCAGCATCTTGCAGATGTTTATGTGCTTTGAGGATTCTCTGTACTAGCCAGGATGCTTGTTTAGCCTGGATGCCCCATGATCCCCTTTGTCCATAATAGCTATGTATCCATTCAACCCATAAAATATCCTTCTTTTTACATAGATTCACATAAGTTTTCCAATGGCTGCCTTATTGCAGGTGAACACATCAAGAAAGTTCAGTCCCCACTAGCCTTGGGCCAGCATAGCTTCTCCCAGGCAATAAGTGCTTTTTTGATGCCTCCACATTCTCTGTCCACAAAAACTTCCTGCATATACTCTCAATAGCATGTAGAATCTTCTTAGGAAGGGCAGAAATTTGTGCCCGGAAGGTTTGAATTGAAAACAAGACATTCTTCACCAACCGAGCTCTTCCAGCATAGGAGAAGAACTTTGTGGTCCAGCTAGTAACTCTACTCAGCATTTTATCAATCAGAGGCTTACACTGGACTATAGACATTCTTTTAGTACTCAAGGGTACCCCCCAAGTATCTGAATAGTAGTTCTCCTTTCACAAACTGTAATTCCTGTAATATTTGATCTTGAACAGGCTGCTTTACCCCCCCAAAGTAGACACTGCTTTTGTCCACATTTGCCACCAGCCCTGATGCCTCTTCTTAAATTTGATAACTCTCTAATTCCAACATTCTATATGGCGTGTTTAAGACGATTAGATTCAAAGGTCATTTGGTAGATTACACACATTCAAAAGTCTTTCCTTATTTTCTTAAAGTCTATGTCTAGTCAAACTAAGACACTTATATTGAAACATAGAGAGTAAACGAGTAGCTCTTTATAGTACAACTAACCAAATCAAATTGCTGATCCAAGATTTATCAATTTCATGGTTTGTAATGCATTGTAAAGAAGTTGCAAACAAAAAAATTAGTATGGGTCACTAACCTCATCTTTAACTGGCCCATTTGAAAGATCAAATGCTGCATCATTCAGCTACACCATGTTTAAAATTTATGCATCAGAACTAAACCAAAGTGATAAAGAACCCCACACCCTTCAACAATGAATGCAAATGAAACCCAAACATCCAGACCTCTTAATGAACCATCCTAAGAATTCAAAAGTCACACAAAATCCCTGGGCTATTAGGAAAACAATGATACCGCAACGACAGCCTCATTTCCAGAAACAAGGGAAAAGAAAACTAACCAATCCTCATGGGTCACTAACCAGCATGCATAAATATAATGAACCATCATGAAACACTTTTTATAACCATTTCCATACTATTTTGCAGAATAGTTCCAAGAAGAACTTACATCTAAGCGAAGATCACGAGGAAGCTGCGAAAAAAAGTCTGCAGGTAAAACAAAACTCTCCTGGAATAATAATAATACTCCAAAAATTAGCATAACACTGACGGTTCAAGGGAAAGCCAGTTACCAAATAGTAAATAAAGTGGATTTTGAATCTTACAGCGACTTGTTGCAGAAGAGTTTGAGGGTCTGGTTCAAGAGATTTGGGGGAATCAGATTCTGTAACAGCAAACGGTACTGTTGTAGGAGAATCGAATTTGAGGAAATTCTTGCGAAAAGATGGAAGGATGGAGATATGATGTGGGTATTTTCCGAAACCAAGAGTAGGAGTAGGAGAGAGAGAGTAGATAGTGTGTTGATGTAGTGAGAGAGAGGAAGCCATTGAAGCACAAGAGAAGAGAAGAGAAGAGAAGAGAAGAGAATTATTAAACAACAACAAAGATAGCAATTTTTTTAGAAGTAAATTAGGGAGTTGGGCCATATTTTTGGTTCCGTGGTTGTCCTTCAAATTTCGCCACTTCGCATCTTGTCTTACCCAATCGTATTTCTTCCCCCAATCATAGTACAACAAAATACTTTAGGTACTTTTTTGGAAAAAAGAGAAAAAAAAAAAAATCAAATATAGTCAAATGAAAGCTATATAATAATAAAAAGAGGGTGTTGTTTGGATGGTAAGTATTCTAAGGTTTTTTAGCTTGAGGGAGGAGTAAAACAAAAACTAAATATAATTTTTTTTAAATCCTATTTTCTTTTTTTAAGTCTATTTCAAGAGAATATTTCTTTACTTTTTTGTCAATTTTCTTAATTTTTAATTTTCCACATGACATGGCTAAAATTATGAGATTAAACAATATTTTGATATATTTGACATATTTTTAATTTTAAATTATAAAATTTAAAAATCTTTTTTATTTTCTTAAATTTCGTAGCATGTTCAAACAGGACTAACAAGTTAAAAAGGAGAGAGTAATATTAAACCAGAGATATAGAAGGGAGAACAATGTAGATACCTTTCTCTTATCCAAGTATATATTTTTGTATATCTTCCAATTGGGCCAGAAGTGATCTATTTATAAGGGTATAAGTGGTGTTTGCCATAAAAATTAAATATTTTTAAAATGTTTTTTAGAATTATTGAAGTTGGAGTGTGTTTGATCATATTTTTGGAAAGAATATTCAGAATTTGAGTGTATTTTTTCTAAATATGGTTTATCCCTATTTCTATAGATAAAAATATTATTTCCTCTGTTCCATTTTATGTGAGGTAGTTTAACTCAGCACGGAGTTTAAAAAAGAAATGAAAACTTTTAAAACTTATATCCAAAATGAATGATAGAAATTTGTGTGACTGTAAATCATTTCATTAAGAATAAAATAGACAATTTATAGTTAAATTGTTACTTTATATAGAAATGTGTCATTCTTTTTTAGATTGACTAAAAAGGAAAGTAAGCCACACAAATTGGGACAGAGGGAATAATAGAAATTAGAATAACAAACTAAATTATGCTAAGTATTAATAATGGCGGAATTAGTTATAAATAAATCTATATATTATTTTATGCAAATATTAAATATTCATTAATTATTCCACCTTCAATCCTACATAAAATAATACATAAATTTCCTCATAACTTGTACATATATTAGTTATGCAAGTTTCTAAATTATCGACCAACATCGTACTAATTTTACAGAATAACTCATTTTATTTTATTTTGAAATTAAAATAATTTTATATTTAAACACATGAATAACTTATTTTCTATTTACCTACCAAACATCATACAAGTTATAGGGAAACTAATATATTAATAACTTATTCTTATCCAACTACTAAACGACCCTAACACATTACATTATAACTTCCTCCTTCAATCACAAAGTAGTAACCTCTCAAAAAATATGTAACAGATTCAAAAATGGTCTAATTAAAGTGCTCAATACAAAATAAACATTACTTTACTGAGCTTGACCTACACTATCATATCCCCAAACTTGCCCCTGGTGGGCAGAAAGTAGAAAGTCCTCTACATTCTAACAAAGTGTATAACGCACAACTAAATAAAGGAGCAAATCTATCAAACACTAATTATAATACAAGAGCATAATAGGTCTGTCAGCTGCCTCCTGCATCAACCCCCTCCGGTGGTTGCAGTTAAGAGCAACACAATCTGATTTGATCTACTCAAGCTTCAACTTTGGCCACCTTTCGCGGTTCTACTTGACCAGTTAGAGGGCACTGCATTTCTGTCCAACTAATTGGAACCATGGTACCACCTGCAAAAGTTTGTCAACTACCTTTTTAAGAACCTAAACCATGCAACCCTCGGAAAATCTGAAACATGTAATAATTAATAAATAACATCTTCCTATAAATAATTATAGTAGATTCTGCAACTAAACTGGCTACCATATCAACTCAAATCACAGTTGTGCGTCTAACTAAGATGGAAATGCAAAGGTTTTTACACAACTATCCCCTCCATACAATGATGTTTTGAGATTCAAATTTTCTCCAGATGAAGGAAAAGCCTTAAGCTGCAGCTCTTCCCCCCTAACTCACCTCAACATCTATAAAAAAAAACCTTTTTCCCTTAATAATAAGGTAAGCTCCAGAACAGACAGAATTGCCCAATCCTTTCTTTCCTTGAAGTCAATCTGGAGGGGGAGCCACTTCTACAGTAAATTCGGAATATACTTGCACAAGGAGGTTTAACTTCTAATTAATCCATTTATTAGATATTTTTTTATGGCATGTGGTGTTGGAGAAAATTTGTGCACAACTCGACTATTTCACTGGGTACATGCTACCTCCCCATCAGCATAGGTACCGGAATTCTCTGTTCACCCAGGCTTTGAAAAATAGATGAGAAAATAACCACCTAGTGTTTCTTTGCCTATGCTGGGAATTGAACTCAAAACCTCCTTTGTTGTCGACTGATTCCATTTTGCTAGATATTTAACATACCACGCTACTCGGTATGATGTTTATTTGACAAGGTCCTAAGTTTAATGTCTTTACAGAATCAAATATCATATGCAGCTTGCATACGAATTTAGATTCTGTTAAGCTACAGTGACAATTACTAACTTCTCTTATGCTTTTTTGGCAAGAAAATTCATCATCTGCATTTACAACGATCATTTCAAGTGGAAATACTCTGGCGAGCGAGATGGTGGTACGTGTTTCATTTATACTCAATATTCAGAACCAGTCAGTCATGTTCTGAATCAAATTTAACAGCATCAACAAAGTCGACCGAAAATGGAAAAGCAAAATGAAATAGTTGATGAAGAAAGCCTTACCAGCCGCACTTTCAGCAGATACAACACCCAGCTCATTCTTCGCAGTTGACAGATAATATGCTCGTGCATCTCCAAGTGATAGCTTTTCAAGAAAGAATATAACAAATTATACTCAATAAGAAGCAAGTCAACAAACTTTACAAACAATTTTAGTTCTAGGAAATCACAACCAAGATTCCCCATTACTGCCAATACTAGGTGTAAACAGCCAATGGCTCGTAATGATTCTTTTGATCGAAGATGGACTAAAAATGCAACCACAGACCTCTACTATCACTTAACCCATTAACCTGCACTGTATGTAGCACGCCTTCTAAATTTAGAATTTGAATCTTATACTCTGCATATATTTTTTTTTACTTCAGTTGCCTGGACAATATTACTAGCTTTTTACATTTGCCTTAGGCGGCTTTTGGGGATTAGCTACACTCAAAAGTTTATTCCATTCTTAGTTATAAAAATTAATAGGAGATTACCACCAATGCACGAATAATATCACCCGGTCGGAAGGACAAATGCATGTCAACTTTGTCAATCTCAGTTGCTCTGACATCTTGTTGCCTGTTCATTCAGAAGAAAGTTTCAGATTTTCTGTGCCAAAATCTTGCAGCACCGCAGAGTCAATTAACGAGCATGTAAAGCAAGTCAACATGATAAAAGATGGGATTCTATAAGTAAAAAGTGCTATCTGAAAATATCAACTGCTGTGATTCAACAAATAGATGTAGTAAAAGCAGAGATTGAAACCCTATATGAATTGTATGCACTAAGATAAGCAAATATCTGAGGGGTGTTAAAAGTGAAAAATCAGTATTTAATGATCTGCAATCTACGAGCCGTTGATAGGCTTTATGGTGGATGCATGACTAACCAGGGGGTCGTCTTTTTGGAAAGGGAAACAGCATATCAAAACATCCTTACCCTCAATTATGTCACAACAGGAAATACATCTTGATTGCTGTGACACAATTCACAGATTAGTTGAGATGTTTGACAGCTCCAAAAATGTAAATTAAGCGTTAAATTTAAAGTTTAAACCAATAGCCACTGGACTACATTTTCCTACAATAATTAACTCTTCTATCAAAAAATTTAAGTTCAACAAATTTGTTAACTTTTCTCCAAAAAAGAATTAACTCTTCTATTCAACCCGGCATCACAAGATATTTAGTGTGTCAAATTTTCTTTATCCCCTTCAATTTATTCTTTTGACAAGTCTTTGTCCCCTTTGTTTTTAACACAACATTTTTGTGAAGGTCTTGTATTAAGTATCAACTTTACTCAGATTGTAAAATTAATCCAACACAACCAGACAAGGAAATTCCAGAGACAGAATATCCCGTACACATGTTAGAAACACAAATATATTGAACAGTATAACCGTGTATTGTATACATTTTCCTACTGCATGATGAATGATTCTTGACCTGCAACATAATATCCAATTTTGAACTAAAAGATAAGACAGTCAACTTTTTCTTTTGAGAAAGAAAAAAGAATAATAATAATAACAGTAACTTTATGATCAATGGTCATCACATGAAGCCGGTTTTCAAAGTAATCATTGCAACAATGTGCAATTCGGTCATTATAATTGTATGGAGTAGAGGTTTCAAATCAAAGCGTAGCGTGAATCATTTACAGGAAATCAACCATATTTTGCACTTTGTGACACTTAGAGTGGTTGGTAAGATTATATTGTTTAGAGAATTAGCATGAAAAAACCAGTAAGCAAACTTAACCATGGTAAAATGATTTGTGTCAATATGGTTCATACTTTTAATAAGTGCATGCAGGGATGCAAGTCTACAAAGACCACATACTACATAGAGCCTCAATCATACACCCTATCTATACCAGAACATGCCCTAATCTATCTCCTATCACGAATGGCCAAATTAGGTAGAACACATCCTCTCAAAGAAGAATATTACCCTGTTAATACTATGTATTTTTCAGCCCAACTATCATCAGTACCCTTCATAAACACCACTTCTATCTTGCCATTCTCATATAACTAACTTACACCATAACCGTTGATTAAATAATTGTTATAAACCAGTGCATATTTTATGTTCTTTATGTCTCATACTTCATTACAAGAGCAATTATTCTGTCAAATGAGGCTCTGTATTACGCCCCAACAGAGTTCTTCAGCCATTTTGTCCAAAATACTTGAGAAATGAGAAACCCTTGATGAAATCACTCTTCAAAAGTCACCCTAACCTGTTGTTGTAATTTTCAACTGAAAAAGAAAAACTAATTAACTCACCTAATAATGCCAGTGAATTTCTCACGCACAGATTTGGAATCAACACACACTATGTCTGCCGAAGCCGTTCTAGCCATTACCTTAGTAACCTGTCAAAAAAGTTAACTAATTGAAAAGAGAATTTGTCTCAAAAATTCTGTAGTCTGTGGCCAAAGAAATGACTATCAAATAATGATAAAAAAGGAAGTCCATTGCTTACATAAATCCAATTAAATTTTGAAGGATATCTTTCTAACCTAAAGAATCTACACCTCTATATCACAATCAAGAATGAGTTGAAGCAGAGAAAGGTAGTATAGACTAGTACCTAGGTTTTATTTTCTTGTAAATTATTGCTCTTCCTGGTTGAAACAAGAGCATATATTACCAGTTCTACAATAATATTAAGGGAACCTGACATTTTACAGTCTACAATAAGTATAAAAAGGGAAGCACTCACAGTTCTTTCTCTTTTCTGTTTTACAATTATATAATAACAACAACAACAACAAACCCAATGTAATCTCAATCTCACAAGTGGGGTCTAGGGAGGGTGAGATGTACACAGACCTTGCCCCTACCTTTGTGGGGGTAGAAGAAGGTTTCTGATAGAACCTCTGCTCAAAACAGAAGTTTTCATAATTAGGGTTGCAAGGAAATATGATAACAAATAGCAAGATATCCAGCAAATGAAGTAACACATAGTAATACAGATCAAAGAATACGAAACTATGTGACTATGGAATACTACTACTAATAGGGAGGAGCTAGCCCCTGCCTTTCCCACATAAAGTGTGACACCACTCGACTACCTACTACCCTTCTACCCTAATCTTCGACATTCATACCTTCCTGTCCAAGGGCAAGTTCCCAATTGGTTGAAGTTGTTTTACAAGTATACAATTACTAAAAAAAAATGGTATAGAAGATAAAAGCATGAATTATGATATCACATTGATAATTTTCCACTTTAATGGCATTCAATGGAAGAACCAAAAACAAAGGTACCCAAGATAAACTACAATTGACAAAAAGTGATGCAATTAGTAAAGTCCTGGGCAATTTATTTTTTTTGATAGTTAGTTAAGTCCTCGGTAATTTAGAAAAGAAAAAACGAAAAAATTAGGAGTAGTTAAAGCACATAAGTTCACCCAATGACAAAGAGAAGGAAAAAAGAAAAATGCCAAAGTTTTTGCCTTGCACCACACATCTGACACCTCTAATTTAAAATTTTCAAAAGAAAAAAGATGAAAACTATCATATTGTAGATGTTTTTGGATACACTTAATCTTTGAGACAAGAAGCAATGTTTTACATACGGGCAAGCACTGCTCTCAATAAACAGTTATCAATTTCGGGTAACACAAACATTAACACAAAATATTCATGAAAACTATCATTATATTGTCTTAACCAAGAAAACTCACTCTAGCAAAAACAATGGAACCAGGCTGAGGAACTGCTCCATGGGATTTATCAATTTCGGGTAACACAAACATTAACACAGAATATTCGTGAAAACTATCATTATATTGTCTTAACCAAGAAAACTCACTCTAGCAAAAACAATGGAACCAGGCTGAGGAACTGCTCCATGGGCTTTATGACCAGTAACTTCGACTGTTGATCTCTGATGAAGATTGACAAAATGGAGGAGAAGATTGTCATTTAAACAACAGAAAGTGATGAAAACCACATAAATATCAGAAACAAAACAGTAATAGATTAATGTGCCCAAACAAAAATCTTATGACTGCGATAATCATGCTCATGCATGAAAGCTCTTAAGAATCTGCTAGAGTTATCCAGCTCACATCAATGTAATCAGAGAACAAACAAAGTTCTTTGATCAGGTTATGTATGAAGTAAAACACCCAGTGAACATTGGAGTACAATGCCTTCTTTCTTTTCTTTTTGGATCAAATCATTCCAGATTGTTTTTCTTAGCTAATTCATTAGTGTTCAAGGCATTTTACCCTTTCAAGAAAATTCCAATTGGCACGCAAAGGTATCAAGTTCAAATTCCAACAGATACAAAAATGTTAGGTGATTTCTTCTCATCTGTGACATGATGGACAGAGTTATCAATGAATTCAAGAACATATTCAAAGAAACTCTGGCCCCCCGTTAGAATGGTTTACTCGTTGTTGGTGGTTGGCGGAGGTATCCCGGTGGAATTAGTAGGTGCAGCCAAACTAGCCCGGACACCAGGGTTATAACAACAAAAAATCCAATTGGCAAAAGAAAAAAGTTGCAAGTTTCAAACTATATCTGACTTCAGAAAATAAATAGCATAAGAAAACTTAGAGAAATCCCTAAAAGAAATTATAGCTCATGGATTCACTTAATAGCCGTCCCTTTTGCAACTTGGCACGCGAGAGAAAGAGGAATCAGATAATCTCCGTTTCTTTCTGTTAAACTATGTTAGTGGCACCAAAACTTCAGCCGCGAAGAACAATTGCCGAGAAGAAGGAAAACCTTCTGACAAAACTCGTGCAATGAATTGTTTTTTAGCATTAATCTAGTAAAAACCAGTCAAACTGCACCATGAACACCTCTATCGACATTTCAGAATGCAAAACAGTAAGATTCAGAGAGGAACAAAACCTGGTCAACAGAATCGGAAGGCGGAGGTATAAGAGAACGGAACCCGGTGAGAGAGGCGTAAACGGTGCCATTCTCAGTTGAAACGTAAGCCCCCTTTCCGGCTTTCAACTGTGATGCTTTACCTAATACTTGTCCTGGCGTGACCAACTCTTGGGTTTCAGCTTCCATAGCCATCGTCATGCTCCAGCAACGGCTACTCAAACAAGCCCTCTCAAAAACAAAACTATGTTCGGTTTGCAGTGTTCTATTTTGTACCCAACATTTAGTGGGAAAAGTGCAAGAGCGAGGTGGAGAGCTGAATATTGTTGAAGTATGCCCTAGTGAAAACTTAAATAATGTACAAAAATAATAATTGCTCAAAATAAAGTGATACTAACACTCTGTTTGGATGGTAGATACAATGTTTGGCTAGACTGTATTGTTTGTTGTTGTTTAATAACATTTTAATTGTTTGGTTTGATTGTATCGTACTGTATTATAATTTATAAATTTACTAAAATATCCTTAATTATTCTATGGTAGGAGGTTTGACTAGAATTAAATAATATAAGGTAAAGGGTAAAATAGTATTTTGAAATATTATGTAAAGATATAATTGGAAAAAGAAATTAAGTAACAATGGGAACACACCAAATCGGTTGTTCCATAAAATAGGGGTTTTCATTCTTACGTAACAATGAAATTTAACAATACAATACAATACATTTTAAGTAACAATCAAAACAAACGTTGTAGGTATAGTAACGATACAATACAATGAGTAACAATGATCCAAACAGAGTGTAAGGGGTCCTTTGGCGAAAGTGTAGCGACATGTTCTGTCGTCATGGATGTTTAGATCATAATATCCTCGTATAGGTCCCCTTGGGTTAAGGGTTGGCAAAATCTGAAAATGGATATTGAGTTTGAAAAATCCAATTAGGCTTTCGCTATAGGTGGGCAAGGTTCGTCATGACGAAACGTCCTGAGTTGTAGAGGCTCGCTATAGTGCTAGAATTTTCGCCATAGCAAATATTTTTACTATAGAGAAAATCAGAAAAAGGATAACGTATTTTAAGTAAATTTTTACCCAGTTTAGGTCATAACTTAATATTTGACCAGAGAACCCCAAACAAGACTTCCCCAAGGCTTAGGCTTTTCTCTATTGAGGTTAAGTGTTTTCCGTTCATCTTTTCCATCCGTAATTCGATTTCTTTCAAGTTTCGAAGGGTATGCTCTTTATAGGAGTTAATGAGTTGAACCATAGAAGTATTAAGTTGGTATGACAACATATGAGGGGAGTACAATTGCCCGTGAATTCAATCCTAGACCGTTAAAATTATGCCTTCTAGCATGAAATTATGAATCTAGTCTCGTACTATGATATTGAGGACCTAAAATCCCATAAAAGTGGGTTCTTTTTGTATTTGAATGGCTCAAAAAGATTAATGAGACTGAAACTCCATGAATGAGATTGATATGAATATGGTAACCTCTAGTTTGTGAAATAACTCTTAAATAAATAATTAGACCAAAGATAGAATTAGGTTGGTTTGAATACCCATGACCTTTGTTTGAGGAATTAGATGATTAAAATGTCATCATATTGTGTTTGTGTTAGACTTTGAGCATTTAGAGGCTAGCGATTTAGTTTGCTTATTTCTAGTATTTGGTTAAGGTAGGTTATGATTACTTGGAGTTAAGTTGTTTTTGTGTCAAACCGTGTAGGTGTTTTCCTATGATATAGATTGAGAGACAATTTCTTGAGGAAAAATGTCAAGTTTTATTTAGTATTGAGTATTGTGTCACAGATCTTACCAGCGGAACTAGCCAAAAAAATTTGTTTGGCAAAGGAAGGTTGAAATGATTTGAAAAATGAGGGAAAAAGTAAATTTGAAGCGATCTCTTGTCATGGCTCGTATGTTTTTCATTTGGCTTTGTAATTTACGAGTGGGTGTCAACTCATCTCGTTGTAGTTTGTCAAAAGTCATTTGATTTTACTTGATTTTGAGACTAACTTTAGAGCTTGTTGGGTTGTGATGCCTTGTGTGGTAAGGCTTGATTAAATCATGTGTATGCATATTGTCTAAAACTTACCCCAAAATGTGCTTCAAGACAAAATTCTAGATAAGGCTTGGCTTGAAAGATGAACCTAGGCCCTCTTCAATTAGCCACTTTACCAAAAAAAAATTCTTCCCTTGACATTAATCATAGTCAACCCCACTGAGCCTGAACCTAATTCTCTAGTCACCATGTTACACACCTTGACCTTTTTGAATAATTTGTTTTGACACCCTCATCTTCCTAATTTCTAATGATGAAACTGTAGGCTAAAAGTCTAAGTTTGGGATTGAAGATAAAAATGATATTGTAGGCAAAAACGTAAGGAGGGGGGGGGGGGGTGCACCAAGAAAAGAAAGAGAAATGAGCTAAAAAGTGTTTAGAGCATAAGCTTCAATTGAAAAGTACTTAGTGCAATCACAAATGAAAGAATGTGTAACACCTCACAACTCAACTCTTAGAATTTATATCTTTTATGGTAAGTATATCAGCTTGAACCGGGAGATGTCGTACTTGTGCTTATGTGTTAATGTTTATTCCTATGAGTGGAAAGTGTATTGGAAGTGGTTTAGGGTCATAAGGGACCTCTAGTACTAAGTTGAGTTCAGAATCTTACTACCGGCTAAGTTTTTCACATTAGTTCATGTTAGAGTCAACTTCAAACGATTATATCTCTCAGCATATAATTAATTAAGTAGCCCATGACCTATCAAATTAAATGACTATGAGTCTTCTTTCCAACCCCACCAAGTTTGCATCAAACAAAGTTTTGAGTAAAAAGTTATGATCATTTTACTAGAGGCTACCACAATAGAGTTTTTAGAGTCTGCCAATTACAAACCCCATTTATGAGACGTAAATGGTAGTACGACCCATAATTGTCAGTCATAAAATCAACTTTAGAAAGTGAATTTTTGGGTCTGATTTTCGCGGACCTAATTACGGATCGTAAATCCATCTACGGGCCATAATTTAGACCCGTAAAATAAAGTCTCGAAACATGTTTTTAGGCTTGATTTCTATGAATCTGATCATGGGTCATAAACCCAAACAAGCCGTAATTTGAGCCCATATAATGAACTTCAAAAAGTCGATTTGAAGCCTAATTTTTCACAAATTCATTTATAAGTCGCAAACTAATCTATGATTCGTCCTATCAACTTGTATATTAAACTTTCGAAATCCCAAATTAAGCCTAAGTTTCGTGAGAGGAATATAAGACCCGTAAACCCAAGTACGGACCATAAATAACTCTAGTGGAAGTTGTGGATCAGTTTAAGTCAGGGTTTCTTTTGTCTTTTCCCACTATTCCTAAGTCTAAGCCACAACATTACACATATCTTAAAAATGGCTTCATGCTCAAGACTAAGGTCATACACTCTTAACTCTCTCAAACTCAGAAACTACTATAAGCAAGGCAGAAACTAGGGTTTCAATGCACTGAAGCAAGTTCTTGCTCCTAAGTCTCATCTCTCAAATATGTAAGGCTTCAATGAGAGTATCCCTTCACTCTCATGCCTAATGTATTCTAAATTCAAGGATTTTGTGAAACTATGTGAAGAAAAGTTAGGGTTTTCATATGAACTATGATCTTTCTTACAAACTTATGATTCCTCTAACTTATTTTAGTCTTTAAATCGTCTTGTACTGATTTAACATGATTTTTATGGTCATTTATGTAACGACTCGGAAAATGATAGAATGAACTTGAGCCTTGATGTTTGGGTTAGTGGGAGCTTAGGTTGATGTTTATGCTGTTTTAGAACTTAAATGGAGCTAGGTAGCATCCTAGGGTGCAAGCAAGGACCTAGGCTAGCGAGTTAGGGTGAAAGAAGCCTTGTCCTTGGAAGGACTGTTTGTCGATGGGGCTGCTAGATCGCCTAAGGGGTTGGCGAGTTGCCCTTATGCCCCTATGGTCGCCTAGTGGACTGCCCAGTTGACCAGCCTTTGAGTAATCCCACTGGAACAGACGGGCAAGGGGTAGATTTTTAAAGTTACAACTTTTAGGGTCAACTTCGAATGATGATATCTTTTAGCTCAAAACGAATTAGGTGGACCATTACCTATCCAATTAAAGGTATCTGAGTCCTCTTTCCAACTCTACCGAGTTTTCCCTTTTCCGATATCAGAGTAAAAAGTTATGCCCAAAATAGTGAAGAACTATCAAAAAGGACGAGCTTAGACGGGTTTAGTGAAAACTTTTAAGTTTAACTTTGTGGGTCCTTAATTCTTTTCCTAAGTTGAGTTCCTATTATTATTTACCTTTCCTAGCAATTATAAAACCCTTTTAGACCAAAATTCTTCAATTTAAGGCACTCCAATTAGAATTAAAAAAAACTCACCTCCTCTCAAATATTTCTCTCTACAATCCTCCATTTAAGAAGGTCAAGAACTTGGAGCTAGGGCTTGGATTGAAGGTGGTTTATTCATCAATTTTCTTGGGGAATCTTAACAAAGGTATGGTGACCCTTGATCCTTGATTATCTTTCCTTCAAGGAGTCCATTCAAAAGGGTTTCAAAAGTCTTCAAAGAACAAAACTTTTATTTTCTATTCTAGGTATGGGTTCATGGGTAAAATGTTTTCAAAGTCATTATATTGGTGAATTGAAGTTCTATTTATGATTTTAAGATGATTTTATATGAAACTTCTTCAAGAACCCATGTTTTCATTAAAAGCCTAGAATTTGCTTATGAAGTGGGTTTAATGCCTATGATTTAATGTTGATGAAATTGTGTTTAGATCGGATTGTATTGTTGATTTATATGGTTTTCTATATCTATTTATGATGAATTGTTGGTATATGGATGAATTGAGGATTGTGGCCTTATGGGCAAGTTATGGGTGAATCACCTTGTGGTGATATAATTGTTGGGAATTGAGTAATGGTGATTATGGCTTTGGAGGATGGTAAGTTGACTTAATCTCATATTATTAGTAGAATTGTTCTTGATGATGATCCACTTGAAAGGTGGAGGTGTTTACTTATTTTGTACATTGTGACCATGGCCTTGAAGGCATAGTATGAGAAATTTAAGTGTTACATGACATTTTATGAATGGACATTCAATGGAGCTAATGTGATCATGTTATGAACGTAAATGTGTTATTATTGAAAGGCTTTTTCTCAATTTGACACTCATAACTGTTGATGATAGAATATGAAGTATTCTCCAATGTATTGCATATCTCGAATTGGTAGAGCTTGTGCATCCTTTTCTTGTTTAAATGATTATATTGTTGGTTGTT